CTATCTATCTATCTATCTATCTATCTATCTATCTATCTATCTATCTACGTACCTACTTATTTTGAGTTAGGGTCTCACTATGTAGCTCTGGCTGGCCTGAAACTCACTGTGTAGACCAGGCTGGCCTCAAGCTCACAGTGATTCACCTACCTCTGCCTCTGGAGTGCTGGGATTAAAGACATTTGCCACTGGGCCAGGCTGGCCAAAATTCTTAAATCAAACAATATCAAAAATTGAGAAAGAGCTAGTGGAAGGGCGTATTGACTCAAACTACTGAATTATGGAATAGGATTGAAAAAGTATATCCTTACCACATCAATACTATGGACCATTCTACTACACTGATGAAAGTAAATTACATGAGGGTAAACACAAGAAATTCAATAGAATATACCATGTAATAATGAAGACCTCTATAAAAAAAAAAAACGGTATTTATAGTATTTTCAAGTAGAATGTCATACAGCATTAAAAATTTACAATACTATTATACAGTAGAGTGGATAAGTCTCAGAAACATAACACTGAACAAAGAAAGAAGTCAATGAAGACTTTTATATGTTCTTCTGTAAACATAGAAAGAATAAATAAAACTTACACATATATTCTATATCCATACCCAAAAAAAATCTAATCTTAAACTTTGTCATTGAATAAAGAAGCAAGCAAGAAAGAGAATGACAAGTCCTTCAGAAAGCTGGTTAAGATAAGGATATTAGCAGTTTTACTCTTCTTTATACTTTAGCCTAATTTGCATTTTGTCCTTTTTTTCTCCCCAAATCAGAATATGACAATAAGAAGTATTTTCCTGTCCCTACGTTTGTCATTAGATATTTTATGTCTCTTGTAAATATCCTTCTGCATCGGCTCAATGCTCATGAAAACCTGTTTAGGATAAGAGTAATCAGAGACCACTTCCATATCCATCTTCTTTGATATGGGTGGAGGTCTGACCATGATGATGTCTTAGATTATTCATGTTTCAGAACTTGTTGGGGACTGTGCTCGTAGATACCCGTTTGATCAACATACAGTTGGTTTGAGTTATTCCAAGAATCTTGGGGTGATTCTTCCAAACTTTACTGAGTTCAAGGCAGAAAAAAACTTTGCTTTA